GCCGCCGGTTCCTTCACTTCTTCTCGGAACCCCGCTGGGGAGAGCGGCGGGAGGAGAGGACATGGCGATCTACCAGTGATCGCTACGCGATCGACTGGTAGATCGCGATCGACCTTGTGGGCACCCCTGACTTAAAGGGTAACAATAAAAATGAAAAAAATTCCTTTAAATATTTTGCTTGGGGGGTCCCCTTAACCTGCCTGTAAAGTGGCAAATCTGTACGATGTATAGAACCTGCTGCAGCAAAACTGACATTTCTAAAGAAAAATAAATGATGTATTTTTTTTATTCTTAAAGCGTGCAGTTCCCCCTTCCAAACAATAACAGACCCTTTAGGTCTGGTAGGAATGTTAGGAGGGACCAAATTAAAAAAAGTGTGGGGTTCCCCCCAAAAGTCATACCAGACCCTTAAGGTCTAGTAGGAATATTTAGGAGGGACCCCATGTAGAAAAAAAATAATAAAAGTGTGTGGGGTTCCCCCTCCAAGTCATACCAGGCCCTTAAGTTCTGGCAGGAATTTTAAGGAGGAACCTCACCCACAAAAATAGGGGGGAAAAAGTGGGGTCCCCCCTAAAATTTCCAACCAGACCCTTAAACCAAGCACAGGTCTGGCGATACTAGGCCACATCACATGCCTTAAAAGTCCAGACTTTTGAAAAAATCTTTTATTTGGAAAAAAAACAAAAAAGACATGTTTTTGACAAGTGTTTTATTATATATATTTAAAAAAATGGATCCACCATCCATGGTCAATCACGACGTCCAACATTGTCCACGACGACAACGACTCGACAAAATAAAAAATAAAACAATAAATAATAAATAGAAATAATAATTTTTTTTTAAAAGACATCGAGCCCAACCCTATTTAAAAAGACTCTTTCACCTTGCCCAATCAAGGCAAAGTGACAAGGGTTTCTTTAAAGTAATATTAAAGTCAAAACGTTTTTAAGCTATTTCAAATGGTAATGAAATCATTTACAATGTGTGCTGTTCCTTGACGTTAAAAAGTTTTAGCTTCCAGCTGTTCTGAAACATGAAGACTGGGCAAAAAAAGAAATACTTTGCTGGGCAATGTATATTTGTTTGATCTGGATTCATTATTGGGAAACAAGTTTGAGAGTTTAATCCTACTTTAAGGGCCTGTTCACACAACATCCGTTTTCTGTGCTGACCTGATCCGTACGCTCCTGCACTAAAAATGCATCCCAATGTATCCCTATGTGTTTTATGGGCTACAGTTCTCACGTGCGCAGTCCGTTTAGGTTACGACAGAAAAATACTGCATGTCACATTTTGTACGGTCAGGAAACAGTCCAGAAAACGCAAAACGCGGCAAAAACACATAGCACCGCGTCTGCAAAACCGCACCTGATCAGGACCTGATATCATGTGAACAGGCCCTTAATGTCTATCTCTGGCCAAAGCTCTCATCCCTCCCATTACTCCCCTCTCACCATTCAGCACTATCATACTCGCCAGCCCTGCCTCTAAGGCCTTGTTCACACCAAATGCAGAGCAGATCCGCTCAGGTTTCTGCACACGCAGTGCAGTGGGTTGTGCCGCGTTTTTGTTTTTTACCGCATTTGTGCCGCGTTTTTGATGCGTTCCGGGCCGTTTTTGGTTAAAAAAAAAATTTTTTTTTTTTTGTTTAACATGGGCTTTCAGTGCGTTACAGGCATTTGCATGCATTTTTGCAGATCCAGAGCACATCCAGAGCAGGTAAAATAGGGCCTTCTGCAGTTTTTTCACCTGCTCTGGAACTGCACGCTGCAATGTGAAATGGAGCAAAAAAAAAACATTGGAATACATTGGACGCAGTTTTGATCCGGTCTGCAACTGCTCTGCTCTGCTAAAGGAACGTTTGTGTCCAGCACCACAGTCTATGAGTACCCGTTTCCTCTTTACAATGTCATCACACTGAGAGATTCCTGAGGTTGGATGGCGAATAGGAAGTGCTCATGTCACCCAGGCAGTGTCATGGGCATCTGAAGATGAACCCTTCTCCTCTGCAGTGGTGAAAGTAGAAAACTCAGGAGCCGGGACCTGATGTGTTATGTGAGCACACATTAAAGGGGTATTTAGGTTAGGAATTTTTTCATGTAATAAAAAAAAACAAAAATTAATAACTTGTGGGAAAGCAAGTCAGCTAATTGCTAAGTTATTATTAAGTTGCTAAATGTCCCTTTTTTACTTACCTACATCTCTGGTCATGTGACGTGACACATGAATGGGGAGACAGCTGGTCAAATTTTAGCTTTAAAGCCCACCCTGTCCAAGCTGAACTCACTTTTACAGCATTTCCCCATCGGTGCTCTTACCATGACAGCCCCACAAAATACTTGGTACTTCAAGGTATGGGGGAACATGTGACCTCCTTTCTGTTGGAAATGCAACAGCATATACTGATAATTTGTCTTTGGAGCTGTAGATGGCGCTGTAGTGCAATGTTAGTTTTCTATATGCATGCTTATCTATGATACACATGAAGTTTTCCTATGTATGTTTCCTTTACAATGCTGTATTCAGATGTAATGTTCTTATAAACAAGTAAAACTCAGTGCTTTATCTAAACACATTACCAACACTTTCATTATGGACACATGATGAGGGGGGACAGCGTCACTGTAAGAGCCGACATCCAGAGGGGAATTTATCAGAACTGGAGCAGCTGTGCATGGCAACCAAACAGCATTTCTCTTTCATTTTCAGAGCTTAACTGAACAAATTAAACAGAGAAGCTGATTGGTTACTATGGACAACTGCTCCAGATTCTGTCTGCTCCAGTTTTGATAAATTCCCCCCCCCTGTACTTCCAGAATTGGGAGAACATGTTACTCCTCCCTCTTTCTCCCATGTGATAGTGCTGGTGATTGGTGATTGGCACAGAGAACAGGGCTCAGCCCTGTGTAAGCTCTTACTACAAAAGGCTTCTTTTTCTGATTCCCAGGGGGTAAATTGAGAAGCAGGGGAGTGAAGAAAAAGTTGTACTGCTGGGGAGAGAGATTAAAGAAAAACTATTGGTTTGAAGAAGACAGGGATTCCAACTTGACAAAAGTAATTTCAGGGAGGTGCCCTTCTCATTTCAGAGAGGTGCCCTCTTCCCCCCCTACCCCCATTCCGGGGAGTGGGGGAGGACCCCCCTGAAATTATAGCAGATGGCAAAGAAGCAAATGCTTCCCGTGCTATCTGCTGTTTTTTTTTTTTTTTTATATAGTATTCTGACAGCTGCTGCTATCTGAATAATAAAAAAAAAAAGACGGCATAGGAATGAATAGCTAGATTGCTATTGGCTATTTGAAGCTGCCTATTGCACCCGCCCTGCTGCTGTCAATCAGCAGAGAACGGACCTGATGGAGAACTCCAGGTCCACCTCTGCTGATTGACAGCAACAGTGGGAGGGTGAAATAACTAGTCTGCTATTCAAATAGCCAATAGAAGCCTAGCTATTCATTCCTATGCCGTCTTTTTTTTTCTTTTTTTTTTTTTACTCTGACGGTCAGCAAGTGGTTAAAGTGATATCAGTGTTAAAAAAAAGTTAAAAAAGAGTTAAAAAAACACACAGCAGGGAAAGGTTTACTCTGCTAGATCGAGCAGGGTAAACCTCTCCGGGAGAAAATGTTTCTCTCCCGGGCGGCCGGGAGCCGCTATCTTATGGCGGGAGACTCCTGGAACGTCCGGGAGAGTTGGGATGTCTGAAAAGAAAAGAGCAGAGTTACAGAGAGATGAGCTTTTCAGTCTGCTGCTTCTCCTTTCACTGTCCGGTCACAAGCTGGAGGAAGTACAGGACCTGTAAGTAACCTGAAAAGAGAAAAATCATGCCTACTGCCCTGCCAGGCAGGGCTGCGCTGTGTGGCAGAGCTGAGTAAATCTCAGGATTGAATGGACAGAAATACAAATCTATCGGCAGGTAACACAGCTCCCTTTTATGTTTTGTATCTGTGTAGATTTTCCTGGTGTTCAACTTTAAAGAGAATGCCTTCTTAGGTCCGCTGGCTACAATTGAGCTGTATGTATACTAGAACTTCCCCACTTCCCTCTTGTGCCATCAGCATATATCTCACAACATCTTGCATGCGTGTTAGCTATCTACCCTTTAATAGTAACCAAATGTTCGTAATTTCTTATTGTGTTGTATGGATCCAAGTGGAAAACCTTAACTCTTTCCATACCTGCTGACCTTGCTCTGGTTTCATTTATTCAGCCCTAAGTGTGGTAAACGTAAAATAAGTTTTAGAAGCAAAAGCCAATAATTAACACCTTGTGAAATAAGTAACGTTGGCAGGTATTTCATTTATGCCGCGTTTCAGCAAGTGTTTTTAATATCAAATAGGTATGGCAGTTATGTGAACAGCGAGCAGACTAGCTAACGCTGGCATGTTTTTCACATTTATCACTGAGGACACATTCACACCACTTGTGTTCTGGTAACATGTGGTAATGTGTGTTTAAAGTGGAAGTCAAAGAAAAAAAATTGCAGATTGGCTGGTGTTCTGACTGTGTAAATCGCTTCTGCCATAAAAGTTACTTTTTACCATTCAGGAATTTTTTTAACTTTATGCTGAGTGTTAGAATACACATTACTGTGTTTATAGCAACAACTTCTGCAGTATACAAGTTCAGTCATTAGATGGCAGTGTTTATAAGTTCTGTTATACATCTATGGTAGATACTCTGTTGTATTGAATAAGGTAGAGAAGAAAGCTGTGGCTTCCTTCCTGTTTTCAAGCCATGTGCAGCATGCATACCTGACTGTGTGCTTGTGTTTCTCTGTGAGGCTGTGCAAAAAGTTCCAACACTGAGCCGCGCATGTGCAGCTCAGCACACAGACCTGGAATGGCGAGATGAAGTAACTCCCATGCGCGTGGGAGTTACATCATAGGGGCCTGGCCAATCCGGCAGTCAAAGCCTCGAAACTTGGAAGAGGACCGAGCAGAAGATTGAAGCTCCAGAGGGAGAGGAGCACAGTGATGGAGGTGATCGGTTTGGAAGGTCTGCCATATTGTGCTAATATGCTGCGCATATTTTTTAAAGCAAAAATCCAGGCAAATCAAATCTTAACCCTTGCAGTGGGGCTACCCCTGCACTGCATGGGTTAAGTGCTAGTTTTGTCCAGGGAGCTCAAATAAAAAAAGTTACAGTCACCCAAAGCACAATCCTGGCTTGCTCTTAGACCGATCCCTTCAGCCTCACTCCCCCTCTGCTTCAGCGGTCTGGCTGCTAGACCGGTGCCTTCAGCCTCACTCCCCCTCTGCTCCAGCGGTCTTCCTGCTAGACCGGTCCATTCAGCCTCACTCCCCCTCTGCTCCAGCGGTCTTCCTGCTAGACCGGTCCCTTCAGCCTCACTCCCCCTCTACTCCAGACGTCTGGCTGCTAGACCGGTCGCTTCAGCCTCTCTCCCCTTCCGCTCCAGCGGTGTAAGCAGGGCCAGATTTACTCTTTTTACTTTTTTACATTATTAGCTTATCGTTTTTATTTTTTAATAATTTTTTTCTTATTGTTTTTTACTTTTTAATCACGTTTTAATTTTTTTAAATTTAATTATTATTTCTTATTATTTTTTTCGGGGGGGAGGACGGAACCAGAGGAAAGAGGTAGGTGCGGGGGGGAGGATGGACAGGCTGCACACATTTGATCGCGGCAATCACTTATAAACGAACAAGCGCCTGCCCCACACTACATTTGGTCCTGCCTTCCCAAAGCAGTACTAAATGTAGAAAGCGCAACTTGGTGCCCGGAACTTTATGTTTCAGGCGTCGGGGGATTCCGACGACGGCCGTGCCTCGGTGGCCTTGTGGGGAATCCGGGCCTGGGTGTAAGGTCCTGTCAGTCATCACATTTAATACAGTGTATTGAACATGAGCATGCTGAGGGACATTCCATTACTGGGGCAGAAGGAAAGACTGGCTGGAAGGAGCGGTGTAGGAACTAGCTGGGATCGCGGTTCAGGTGAGTATAACTTTTTGAGCATTTAACCATGCAGTGCTGGGTAGCCCCACTGCAAGAGTTAATATTTGATTTGCCCAGAGTTCTGCTTTAAGATTGTTAGATCTCACGAGCAGGACCCTCCCTAACCCTCCTGTACTGAATTGTATTGTAAATGTATTGTCTCATTTTATATTCTAAAGTGCTTTCTAAACTGTTGGCTCTTTAGAAATCTTGTATAATGACATGAATAACTGCAATGCTCAGTGATGCAGGTTACAAGCTTTGGTGGGCTGTGGTGTCATTCATTGTAAATGGCACCCCAGCAAGCCTTCATATGGCACATGCAATGCAATGAATAACAGTGCAGTGTGGCACAACACAAGGCACGGTGCCCTTAGTGTAGTACTATGAAAAAAAAGACAGACTCGGAGAGACTGAGCGGAGGGGGGAGGAATAGTCCCGGGAGAAAGAGTTAAAAAATAAAATGTTCTTTTTTTGTCTTTTGTTCCAGGACTTTCTGGAATTATGGATAGTGGAGGAATATAAGTATAACACCACTTCAATCTCTTCCCGTGCAGCTAATGAAAGCTATAGTGCAAAACGTGTCAGTAGGAAGAGACATCATCGTGCTTGAAAGACATGACAGTCTGCAAGAGACATGGACATAGCTGTAAAACAGTAGTATGAGAGTTTTTCCTTTACTTTTAATACTGAATAACCTCTGTTTTATTTTCAAAAATAAAAGGTGAGTGTATCTGTTTTTATACATATAAATAAAATGGAGCTTTACTATTATATGCTTTCTTCTTTTTTTCTGAGCTCTATGTTTCGGGTAAGTGATTATTGCTTTGGATGTCCATTTTGTGAGAGTGTCCTTATTGTGACCACCTTGAAACAGCTCACGGGAGATTGTCCAATAGGAGACCTTTTATATTTGGGGTCATATAGTGCTGGTGAGTTCCTGTCTGATTTATGGAAAGGAAGTACTTTGTGAGTGGAGCTACAATAATTGAAGTTACTATAGAGTGAATATTCAGATTTCTTGCACGTTGATGGAAACTGACATTTTAGACTTTGGCTCATTCACACCTACTGTATATGATAAAAGGACTTTTGTTTATTTACAGTTATTTGTATGATTTTTGACATTTGTTCATCTAATTATGTTTTTTTTTATTATTTTCTGTTTTTGGGAACCCGTTTTCCACTTGTCTTCTCTTTGGATGCATAATGTGAGGGTCCCTCCTTCTCCTCTTCTTCCCTCTGGGTGGC